CTCCAAAATTTGGAGTAGAAACTAAATGCTCATTTTTATTCATACCACCCATTAACTAGGGACTTTACGGACCATTGTCCCATTTTGCTAAATGTAAAATTACAAAATACCAAAGAAAAATACGAAAATCAAGATAAAATTATCAAAAAGATTAACTATCAAGAACTTTCTCACCATTTATTAATAGCAAAATGGGAAGATGTTCTGAGCAGCACAGATGCAAACACTTGCACTAATAACTTTATCAGTCAATTGCAGGAATATATTAAAAAATGCACAAATGAACACAAACTATGTAATAGATTAGTATGGCTTAAACCCTGGATCACTGGTGGCCTCCTAACATCAATACGGAAAAAGGATACCTTAAAAAAACAGTGTCGCCTCAACCCAAACAATGTAGAAACCTATAATAGATACAAAAGCTTTAGAAATACCTTGTCAAAATTAATTACAAAATCTAAATGCTTCTACTATAAAACAAAATTAGGAAAATATTCAAATGACTCATGGAGGGTGATAAGAGAGGCCACAAATGATCAGGAAAGTAAACAGGAAATAAAAAGTATTTTCGAACAAGATAAAGTCAGAATAACAAACCCTACATTAATTTCAAAAGAATCTGTATTTCCATAAGGTTGGCAAAACTCTGGCTTAAAAAATAGCTCCTGTTTCCCATGGCTAGGTACAGAGGCAAACCAGTAGAAACTCGTCTCCATTTTATTTAACCCCTATAACAGAAAATGAACTTAAAATAGGTACCCTAAAAAAACGGGGCTGGGTGTGGAGAAGACACTATATCTTCAGAAATTGTAAAGAGCAATCATCAACATTTAATAAAACCCCTAAAACACATTATAAACACCGTCTTTTGTACTGGAGTGTTTCCGGATGCCCTCAAAGAGGCCATCATTGAGCCTATCTATAAACAAGGAAACAAAGAACTGGCTAGCAACTACAGGCCCATTGCACTTCTGAGTACTATAAGCAAATTGGTCGAAAAATGCATTAAATATAAACTTGTATCGTTTCTGGATAGGCATAAATTACTATTAGATAACCAGTACGCTTTTAAAAGGGATTCCAGTACGGGGGAGCCTTGTGCTTGGTCACCGAAGAAATATTAAGAAGCTTGGATAGAGGAGAGAAAGCTATTGGAGTGTTTCTGGATCTGGCCAAGGCGTTTGACACTGTGGCGCATGCGACCCTCCGGGAAAGACTGCACATTATGGGAATAAGAGAAATAGCAAATGATTTATTTAAATCTTATCTGAACTCAGAAGGTCAAAATAGCTAATATAGTAAGTGACAGTCTCCGGGTAGAGTCGGGTGTGCCACAGGGTACAGTGCTGGGGCCGCTTCTGTTCAACATATTATGGACGGTGTCTTGTCAGCATGTGAACAGGGGAAGGTTTTTTGCTTCGTGCATAACACTGCGGTAATTGTGCAGGATAAGACATGGGACTTAGTGAGAAAGAAGGTGGAACTGGCAATCACAAAAATTAAAATATGGTTAGATTGTAGTTTACTCTCTTTAAATGCTGATAAGATAAAGTTCATGACATTTGGCTTGACACAAAGTACTATGCCTGATTTTAAGCACTTGCAGATACATGGGCATGACTGTACAATGGAAAACAAACAATGTAAATGCAATATAAAAATAGAGAGAAAGCCATTTTTTGAAATACCTGGGAGTCGTTATTGATGAAAATTTGACGTGGAAAAATCATATCGAATATGTAACATTTAAAATTAGAAAACTAATCCATAAGTTCTATGAGCTAAGAAATATATTACAGGTAAAGATGGTTTACTGCTCACTGGTTTAATTAATTTTGGGCTTGTGGTGTGGGGAAATGCGGCCAAGGCTGCTCTGTCGGCGCTGTATATTGCACAGAAATATATGTTAAAAATTATGTTTTTTAAACATAGAAGGTTCTCAACATAATTAATATTTGAACAAAGTAAATTGCTGAATTTGGATCAATTATACATCAAGTCTGTAATAAGATTTATGCTCAAATTTCCATATTAAAAAAATAACCTTCAACATCAATTTAACGGGCCAATTCTGGGCACATCTAAGCAAATCTATAACTTTCTATAAGCCTGTAGCTGCCTATAGACAATTTGCAATTTAGCACTTCCTGTAGCTCGCAAAAAATCTTGTAGAATCGTAAATATTATCCGATCGGGTGTTTGGCAATCGATGCGTTTTGCAGTGTCTATAAGTTTATAGAAAATTATAGATTTGCTCACAGATGTGCACAGAATAGATCTGTAAATACCAGAACCGCAACTCGACATGATGTTTTACTACCGTCAGCCAGAGGTACTGCCATCCAAAATAGTAAAATATTGTGTATTTAGGTGGAAAAGTGACACATTCTCGGCCGACAGTGTATGTTGACGGACGAGGCGTAGCCGAGGCCGGCAAACGCCGAAGTCCGAGAAAGTGCTTTTCCACGGAAATACACATACTATTTTTTCTGCGATCGGTTAAATACCTGTTAAATGTTTGTATTTTGGTTCCAATTATTCAGCAGTACGAGAATTACCTTCCCGGCCTAGGCCGGAAGAGTGTTTCCCATATTGTTATTCATTGATTCCTTAGCAACTATTGAAATATAATTAAAATACCAGAATATCGAGTTTAGCGACCTGTCAACCAGCCAAAAATGCTGACATTTCTTGTCAATCGCAGAAAAACATATTGGGTCCTATGATTGAACGTTTACGTTATCCGTAACGTACATGTTAGGCCGAGTTTTAACAGTAACGATGCAAGTTCGTATGATGGAAAGTTTTTCATAACAGATTACTGTTATTTCCCACCTGTTATGTTCTAATTTAACATATCTCCTCAACAGCCCCGAATAACATGCCGTTAAGTGCTTAATCTACGTCGGTGTCATTATGACACATTTAGCATTGTCATTTGAATGTCATTAGGTCCTTCATAATAGCACTAGTGCGTTTAAGAATTCACAATAACACCCAAATTTTGAAATGAAAATTATACAAAAAGAAAGTTAGTTGCCAGAAGAACCTTTTCAATAATGCTGTCTCTATATTCGAAGAGACACTTTCGAACTCAGATTCACCAATAATAATATTATTTTCCACTATAAAATTGAATTTATGGCACAAAAATGGACTTCAATATTGAAGCTGCCAAAGTCAAAATTCTAAAAACCAACAAGCAGGTTCTCGACTAGTACGGGCACCTGCTAAATTTCAAATTTTAATTTGAAAAGTTTTTGCTATTTCAAGGCAAATCAAATCTATTTGGACCATTGTAGATTAAATTTTGAATGATACACGTTCGATATGAACTTTATTAATGAAACTTGTGTAACTAAACCACTCGGCTAACGCCTCGTGGTTTAACGTTACACGCGTTTCATTATGGCGTTCATATCGAACTTGTATCATTAATAACTATAACGTTCATGTTACCAATGTTTTTACATTTGTTTGGAGATCCTATTTTGAATGATGGGGTAATTAATTTACATAATACAAGAAGAGAATCAATTATCAAACTAGGAGGTACCTATAGGTTATAAGATTCATTGCTATTTTATGTTAATCATAATTATGAGGTACAAAACTTTAATATTAATTCACTATTTGAGGACTGAATTGGACACTCAAAGAAGGCATACCAGAGGTCAATTGAAACTCCTGATAAGGTTTTATTACTAAATATACTAGACTTCCAAAAGTTCTAAAAGAATCGGTGCAGTTTATAATTGCAAAAATAAGGCAATATTCCTCAAAGACCAAGGATTTCATCCATTCCAGTTGAACTGAAGGTCTAAATTCTAAAAGTTTATTCTGAATTCTTAGTAGGTAGTTGGAGCTGTTTTTCATTTTATATAAGGCAATGGTTCTAGTAGTGCTTTTATTTTCGTGTACAAATGATGTCCACTCATCAGAGGGGTTTTCTTGCGTCTCGAAGTTTTGAAAAATAGTTTGAAACAGTTTCCCAATGACCTCATAACTTCTCGGCGCGAGAAAATGGTTCAAAAATATGGATTGGATTGTATTTCGGAACAGTTTGAACCAATTTTGTGTGACGTCATGGGTTTATGGCGAGAATATTCACTATTTCAAACCTGTTTTGAACCAGTTTCAAAAAAATAAACGCGAGAAAACACCCAGGGCATTAATATGATTTGGAAATGACCCCACACTGTTTTACAGTTATTTTAGATAATCTTTTCGCCCCAATAAATTGAATAAAATGTAAAATGAGCTGCAAAAAAATGTAATTTAATTGTTTGTTATTATTAGTTCAAGAAAAATGTCACTTTTGAAACCAAAGTGAAGCTAAGTACAAATACTTTCTTCCATTCCTAACAGCATAACATTTTCTGTTATCGATTTCGTCAATCATACCGATATAACATCCACTGTTATTTTATATGTTATCTATTCCCTGTTAGCATAACATAACAGGTTTATGTTAATTTTAACGTAAACGTTCAATCATAGGACCCATTATATGTACGGGTCCAAAACTGTATAATATCCTACTCCTAGATTAGATCATCCTCCTATAAAAAAGTAAAAAAAAATAATTGGCCCATGGATCATTGAAAATAACATATCATCTCAATTGTATAAAAACTTCTGAAAAAAAAAAAAAACAAAAACCTCTGGACCTACTATGCAAGTTGCAACTATTGTATACCAAATAAAATGAAGATTGCATAACGTAACCTCAAATTAGATAAATACAACTAAAATAGAGGCATGCACACACAGATTGTCTGAAATTCATTGTGCAGTCCCAAAATGAAAGCAATAAAATACCAATACCAAACAGCATTAAATACCTATAATTGTACTCAAACAGATATTTACAAGATAGTATGTTGATTGTGATATTTCTATTTCTATTTAAGAACAATAATTGTAAACTTATTGCTTGAAAATAAATACAAATACAAATACAAAGAAATTTACTAAAAAAAAAAATCTTGTTTCAGATTCTTTTGCGATTGTGGGGCAGGCACGTTAACCAATCAGTGCCAGCTACAAGGCGAACCTACTCAAGATACTGATACTTTGTATGATTCGGCAGCACCCATGGAATCGCATACTTTAATGGTAAACTAGAGTACATGATTTTTTATTTATTTTTTTTTGATGAATTGAGTGCAGCCTATTTTGTATTAAAATCTCTTTGGGAAAGCAAAGATTACTTTGTTGATGGTTAAAGTTTGATTACTTTTTGTGCAAACAGGATACTAGGAATGTTTTGGATATTTTTATAAAATATGAAATTGATCTGATAATGATCCCTTATAAACTTTCTGATTTGCCTACAGATAAATGAATACTTTGACCATTTTCAAGATAGCACTTTGTCTTTAAGCACTTAATTTTTTTTGTTTCTGGCACAGTATTTGAAACAATTGATTATGGAAATCTAGTCTGGGAAATATTTTTAAAAAAAGTTAGGTAAATTCTTGAGTGAAAATCAATTGTAAAACTTGCAAAATTATTTTGAATGCCTATTACAGCTTTCTAAAATTATTCGAGTAGGCGAAAATATGCTTGTACAGTTATTTTTTAGATGTTTAATTTTTATCAAATACTCCTTTTTTTTTTTCTTTAAATTAACTGTTATTTAATTATTTTTTTTTTATTATTTATTATTACATTATGCTGTTTAGGGTTGCAACAAAAAAATGCCTAAGTATATTAATTGAGAATTTTCAATGGCAGCCAATCAAATCTCGATTTAATGTCTGCTTTATTTTGTTGCAAGTATCATAGCTTTAAAAAATAGAAACTTGAGGGGCTTGTCGATTGAGCCACTATTATTTTTGTGTATTATTTATACATGTGCATTGTGTGATATGTAGAAGCGCGTTAACAGAAATATAAAAATTTGATATCAATATTTTAGTTGATTTTAACGCCTAAAAAAAAAAATAGGTGATATCCAAATTATTGTGTTTGAATAACTATGTAAATTAAGCCAGTATTAATTTTGGCAAATAGAGAGTGTAAATGGGACTTAGTTAAGGTGTGTGTAAATATTCTTTTTTATAATTCAATTCTAGCAATATTATACATTTTTTGATACTTAATTAATTGGACGTGTGTAAAGTAGTGAAGGATTATACTTTCTGTTTATCCAGTCACTGTTATAGTTATTATTAAAGTACAATACAGTTTTTGTCACTGGTGCCATAAGACTTTAATATTCAAATTCTGCTGCAATATATTGCTTTTAACTTAAATCTCTTGCCTAATAAAAATTCATAAATATTTGTTTTTCTCTTATAGTTGTTATGTTTTGTAGGTTAAGTAGGGCGACGGTTTTGAATTATTTTTAAGGGACCCGAGTCCTTATGTTCCTTGATTTGAGATAAAAAAAAAGCGAGAATTAGTTATTCGATGATTTTTGATATGACTGAAAGTTTGAGAGTGTATTATAATAATGAAGTTTTTTGTAATATAATTCCCTTTTTCTATTAATATCTACCACTTATTGATGATGATGATGATGAAGTTTAGTCGTTAAGTTGCCTAGGCTTAAGTTAATTGTCAGGCTTTGAAAAAAAAAATAGATCTACTGACCAGGATCCTTGAGTAGATAGCTAGCACTTGTATTGTACTGTGTACATTATATACAAAAAAAAAACAAATATATGGTTTAAAATTTATTGGATTTTTATTTTATATGACTGCATCTGGATAGTGAGACTTGTGTACAAGATAAAATAGACACTCTGAATTGCAAATAAAATTTTATTTATCAGGGACAATAGTGTCAACTAGTTACCAGTGGTATGACAAATGTCCGGTCCGAACCTTACATGGCGCTGCGGACAGGATAAGTTGTGAAGAAGAATTTTTTACAAAATATGAGATGAAAACTTTACGACAACCCAAAGAAAAGTCTCTTGAGGGTGATAACCCCACAAATTTTAAAAAATGGAAACAGCAATTCACCATTTATATGGATGCCTCTGATTTGAAAAGGTAACAGCTGAAAGGAAAGCTGTTATTTTGCTACATACAATTGGAGCTGAAGTACTAGCAATCTATGACATACTAGAGATACCTGATGATGATAAGAAAGACTGGCAAAAATTATTACATCATTTTAAAGTACATTTCAAACCAAAAGAAAATGAGACTGTTAATCGACACCTATTTCATACTAGAAAGCAATTACAAGGTGAAAGTGTTGATATAATTGTGACTGACTTGAGAAAACTAAGTCAAAATTGTAATTTCGGAGATCTGCGAGATAGTTTGGTTAGAGATAGGATTGTATGTGGATACGACATTGTGTTTTGGGGCTTTTGTAGTCTGCAACTTCTGAACTCTATATTTGTTATTCAAAAGAGAGCACTTAGATATATGTGCAGAGCGAATCCCAGGGATCACTGCAGACCATTATTTGTTAAATTCAAGGTTTTAACTGTGATATGTTCGTTTATTTTAGAAACGGTTTGTTTAATACACCGGAAGTAGGTACTCAGGTGGTGTCACTTGGGATAATAGACAGAATGCTTATAATACCAGGCAGAGTTCTAATATTCGTCTTCCAATCCCAAAGTCTACCTTAACTAAGCGCTCTTTAATGTACGCGAGTATTAAGATTTACAACCACCTTAATGTGACCTGTAGATTTTTGCCATATAAACCATTTCGAAAGACCGTGGTGGACCTCCTTGCTGGTAAGGCATACTATAGCCTAGAAGAATTTTATCAAGACAGCTCTCGAGCTTGAATTGTGCAGCTTTTAAATTTAAGTACAATTTTTGTCTTGTGCTCAAAGTTTTGCTGTTTGTATTGGTTTTCCTGCTGTGATGTACCTATTGTTGGAGCCACATCTGTATAGTTGTGATTGTTTTATCTAAATTTGTAATGTTTTTCTTTTAAGTTATTTTTGTATTTTAATTTTAATCTGTATTGTTTTAATTTTCAAATTGACGTGGAATGTAATCAAGAACGGAAAAAAAAAGATAAACACTAGATTTAAGTATTTGTTTTTCAATTTTTTTTAGAAGTACTAGTGACATTTATACATACTTATAATAATAATAATAATAATAATAATATATATTTCAAGAAAAGAAGGTATTACATCTACAATTTCTCTTAAATCTAACTACATCCTAACTTCTGGAAATATAAGGTTCCCACTAAATCCATTGAAGGATAGTGCGTGGGGGTGATTTTCATATTTCAGTCCGCCCGGAATGCAGGAGACATTACAATGAAATAATAAAAGAGAGAAGAAAAACAAGCAAAATTTATTTTCACATCAATAATAATATGAACCAGAAGATCTTCAAAATTCAGTCTTATTAACTTAATACACAATCTTCTCAAATAATTGAGCCTTGGTAGATATTTTGTAATTTGGAAAGTACAAGATATCTTCTTCAAATATTCACTAAACTAAACATTAATTAAATTACACTCCTCAACATTGTTGAGTGAAGCAGTTCGCATGGGCTTTTATATTAAATTTGTGTCTACTATAAGTAGTTATAAGGCTTTGTCAATGAATACCCTGTATTTTGGACAATAAAGCATATTTGATTTGATTTGATTTGATTTGAATAGAGGACACTAAAGTAAGAGATAGGTTACTAAGCCTGAATTAGATTTGACAAAATGTGTGAATATCTGTAGAGCGTTGAAGTTAGCTGAAATCCAATCAAAAAATCTAGAAATTGAGACAAATGTTAATATGTATTATGAAGAAAGCAATAAAATCAGGACAATACAGAGAGTTTACTTCACAAAAAGATCAATATGAAGTCCGAAATCAAAGTGGAAATAGCTTTAGAACAAACTCAGAAAATAAGAGTTGATAAAAAACAGTGTGGCGATTGTGAATATTTTCATGGTTCAAGATGTCCTGCATATAGAAGACAATGTAAAGCATGTAACAAGTTTGGTCATTTTCAAAAGTACTGTCGTGAAAAAAGAAACATGACTCAAAATGTATATTCAGTAGAAGCTGATGATGAAGACAAGAGCAGGAAGTGTTTATAGGCACAGTTCAGAAAGTAGGACAAGTAGGTTTAGTTAGCTGGATGTAAAAAGTAATGGTCAATAATAAGGAAATTTGTTCCAAATGGACACTGGTGCTGATGTTAATGTTTTGAATTTGAGATCTGCCAAAGAACTTAATGCTGAAGTTCAGTCATCTAATACAAAGCTATTGAACTATGAAGGCTCTTTAATGGGTGTTTATGGACAAACTACACTTATAATCTCTAAAACTAATAATAAAAAACACAATGTAGTGTTCATTGTAGTCAACTTTAATGCTCCATGCATAATTGGTCTTCCATTTATTGAGATGTTTAATTTGCTAAAGAGAGTAGGATTGGTAGAACAGGAAGACAAATATGTGATTGATAGTCTACTAAAAAAATACAACCATATTTTTCAAGGCATTGGTGAATTGACAAATTCATACAAAATTCAGTTGAAGAAAAAGGTAGAGCCAGTTGAAGAACCTCCAAGAAAAATTGCATTCAGCCTTCAGCAGTCAGTTAAAAGTGAGCTAGATAAAATGGAGAAAATGGGCGTTTTGAGAAAAGTGACTGAACCAACTGAGTGGTGCAGTTCTATGGTCATTGTAAAAAAGCCAGACAATAGTTTTCGAATTTGTTTAGACCCACAAAATCTGAATAAAGCCATAGTACGTGAGTGGTATCAGCTTCCAACTTTTGAGGAAATTGCATCCAAGATGGAAGGGGCAAATACAGTATCCGCCAAAATAAACAGTACTGAACATATAAATTATATCATTTTTTAATTTGTATCATGCGTATATGTTCAAAAAATACATCATAGCGACGCAAAAAAGCTTCATAACGATTCTGCAAATTATTGGAAATATTTATTAAGAGTGGTTGTTGAAATTTTTCTGAGACTTGTTTCAAACTTGAGCCTTTATTCCTACCAAATCCGTATGACCGGAAATAGTGCTCTACTAAGAAAGCTGTTTTTTGAGTTCAAAGATACATAATGACAAAGATTTTAACCTTAACTTAATGTCAACCTCATAACTAATCCCAAGTAAGCGAAATATTATAAATGCAACTTGCGTGCGCAATTACTCAGAGCTCTAGATTTTGGTACTGTTTATTTTGGCGGATACTGTATTTTTTCAATACTGGACGGCAATAAAGGCTTTTATCAGATCAAGTTGCACGAAGAAAGTGAAATACTTACAACATTTAATGCTGGGTGTTATGGCCGATATTGTTATAGGAGAATGCCTTATTATGGACTGTGCTCTGCACCGGAAGTTTTTCATCATACATTCAAGAATATTTTTGATGGACTTCTAGGAGTGGAAATTTACATAGATGATGTTATAGTCTGGGCAGCGAATAAAGAAGAACACGCCAAAAAACTGGAAGCAGTGTTAAGACTAAGACAGAGCAGCTAAACGTACCAATGTTCATTTCAATCGACTCGAGAGTAAATTTGGGTTAAGTAAAGTACGTTATATAGGTCATGTGTTTACAAAAAATGGTTTACATCTTGATAAAGACAAGGTGAGTGCTATTTTGCAATTAAACAATCCAAAAAACAAAAAAGAACTACATATTTTGCTAGGAATGGTTACCAATGTATCTAAGTTTTTGCCCAATTTGGCGGATGTTACTAGCTCGATGAGACAACTGCTTAAGAAAGATGTAGAGTTTATTTGGTCTGATAAAGAAACATCTGATTTTGAAAAACTTCGAAAAATGCTCACATGTGCACCCGTACTATAATATTATGATGTCAATACAGAGGTTGTTTTGTCAGTTGATAGCAGCAGCCAAGGCTTGGGAGCTATGCTGTTACAGAATAATTTGCCTGTAGCCTATGCCTCTCGAGCATTGACTGCTACTCAGAAGGCATGAGCTCAGATTGAAAAAGAATTATCGGCAATAGTGTACGGATGTGAGAAATTCCATCAATATGTTTATGAAAAAGTAGTAATGGGTGAAAGTGATCATAAGCCTTTGGAAAATATATTAAAGTCATTGAATGACACACCATTTAGATTGCAGAGGCTTAGGTTGCGCTTACAGCCATAAAATTTATTGCTGGCTGATGCCCTTTCAAGGAACTTTGTAAAGACTGATATTCTTGAAAATGATGATTTAGATAAAGAAGTAAATGCACATGTTGATATAATAATTAATGCTTTACCAATTACAAAAACCAAAGTGTGAAAGGTTCAAGAAGGAAACATCTCTTGATGCTGATTTGTCATTGTTAATTTTCTATATCCAAACTGAATGGCCGCCTCATGAAAATATTCCAGTTAATTTAAAGTATTATCATTCAATCAAAGATGAATTGTATGAATAATCTTGTTTTTAAAAATAATCTAGTTGTAGTTCCAAACAGTTTACATTCAGAAATGCTGGAATTAATTCATATTAGTAAATCATAATCATTTTGGACTAGAAAAGTGTAAAGCTCGTGCTAAAAAGATTTGTGAAACATGCTAAAGATTTCAAAGAACTCATGAGGAATTGCAACTGAGAGAAGCCCTTATGACCCCTGACAAGTATTGGGTGTTGATTTATTTTATTTTCGTACAAAAACTTTTGTTTCGTTGATTATTTCAGCAAATTTTTAGAGATCATGGAATTGAAAAATGAGTCTGCAGAAGCTGTTATAACTGTCCAATTTTGCCAGATACGGTATCCCATTGTTAGTTTATT